GGGACCCTGCCATGGTCGAGTGGCTTATCAACCGCACACTAGACGTCTAAGAGCCGCCCTCTGAAGAGCCGCCTGCTGAAGAGCCGCCCTCTGAAGAGCCGCCCTCTGAAGAGCCGCCCGCTGGAGGCCGGCCCTCAAGAGACCAGTACCTGATCTAAAAGACCTTCCTAGACCACCACATCTCAAGCCGGATGCAGCGAGACTGATTTTTTCGTCACACGACCGCAACGCCGCGCGCGGCAAGAATAGTCGGAACGCCACGTCCAACTTTCGTCCGAGCCGCCTCGGTGAAGTGGCACAGGCATTAACAATAAGCAGGGTGATGATGAACGCGATAGCGAACGTGACAGCCGCCACTCAACCAGCGACAACGAACGGTTGCCCACTAGCGTGGCGGCGAGCGTGCATTGGCCAAAGTGAGGGAGGGGCAGTGTACGATTAAGTGAGGGAGGGACAGTGTGCGATTTGATCGCGATTAAATCGGGTTTCTGGAGAAAAATATGTCTAAGAGCACTCCCAGGAGCAGCCGTTGGCGACGCAGCTGGCCTCGTCCGAGAAGTCGGAGTCGCTGCCAGGCGTAGTGACGGGAGCGGTGGTGGCAGTCGTGGGAGCGGTGGTGGCAGTCGTACCGGTGCTCGGAGTCGTGCCGGTGGTCGCGGTAGTGGGAGGTTGTGTGGTGGAGTCGTCTCCGCCGCCGCCGCCGGATTTGCCACCGCAGCCCATGGAGGTATAGGAGCTGAGAGGGTCATCGAGCTTGGCGGGTGCGGGTTGATCTGCCGGACGTCTGCAATCGGTGGGTGGCAGAACGGGGCTGGTAGGGGCGTTGCCGGACGGAGGAGTGGCGGTATCTCCGCAACCGGGGCAGTCGATGGAACTGCCGAGCGGATTCTGGCACTGTTGGTAGAGGTCGGTTCTGCTGGGTCTGGGTTCAGGTTCAAGGGGACAGCTGCAGTTGGGTTGATCATCAGCGCAGGCGGGGTCCTTGTTAGTGAGCAGAGGCCAGGAGGCGCCGGGGCCACTGCCGGTGATTTTGGCATCTCCAATGTTAATGGAAAGGTCACGGTACCATCCCTGGAAGATAGACCTCCACAAGGGCTTGCCAATGTCCTTGCCCGATGCATTGTCCATCTGCATGGTACCGCCGAAATCACCTGACGTCCAGATAATCGCACCTCCGAGACCAGCGCGCTGCGCGTAAGCCATCTTATAGTACCACGACTCGGGGTCTTCGTAGGCGATGAAGACCTGAGTATCGTCGGAGATGACCGGCGACTGTGCGCAGTACAAGGTAGGAATCTCGCTTCCCGCCGCCCAAGTGCGTTCGCACTTGTCGAACCATTTGGTCACAAGTTCGTACCACGGCAAAGTACCTGTCTTGGGCGCGGCAGCATTCTCGCCTTGGTCGATAATGTCCAGCGAGCCCGTAACTTGCCACCCGGCGTTCGTTTCACGCACACCCGGTATAGTCTCGTCCGACTCCACGAAGAAGCCGGGTACGTCGCCAGTCTTCTGCACTTTACGCCAGGCCTTTGAGTAAGTCGCGAGTCCCATGTTTAGCTTCTTCGGACTGATGCAGCGCGAGACGACGTTCGAGATCGAGTCATTCAGGTTCAGCTGGTCGTCATCGGTCGAGTACGTCGAGTCGTACAGCGGCGCCAGCGGCCCCGTCTTACGCAGCCAGGTTCCGAAGAAGTCATAGGTCATGAGGTTCAGGAAGTCCACACTAGTGTCGGAGCACAACCACTCGATCGGCGTGGGGTCCACGAAGGGTGCGGCATCGCCCTTGAGCAGATGAGGGCTCATGCCGATGGCCATGGACATGTACAAGTGTCCTTTGCCAGTTGAGGAAGACAGTTTGTCGAGCTCCTTACGCAGCGTGCTCAAAAACACCGCGTACTTGGCCCAGTCACCAGGCGAACTGTTGTTGTTAGTCGAGCTTCCGTTCTTATCGGCGCTGCAAGTATATTCGTCCTGGCAACCGCAGGGACCGTCGCAGGACGGGTACTCCCAATCAATGTCGATACCGTCCCATCCCCAGTACTTGGTATGCTCAACCAAAGCACCTAGGAACTGTGGCGCACCCGCCTGTGTGCAATGCTGGAGCGAATGGGACAACGACCAACCACCAATAGAAGGCATAATGTGCAGGTTCTTGTCACTGTAACGCTTCTTCAAATCCGCATAGTAACCGAACCAACCACGTGTACCAGTGTACCCGGCCTGTGTGCGACCGCGGTTGTCATACACACCCGGCGTAGTCTCGAACATGGCCCATCCGAAATCACCCCAACGGTCCGTCGTGTGCAACAAACACGTAGACGGATCCGCATACAAGAATGCGTGCATCAGGAAGAAATCTGAATATGGCATATCACGAATCATTATCGTGTCATCCAAATCGTACACACTAAACTGCCGTCCGTACAACGCCCATTGGTCCTGATATAATACCACACGAGGTCCATCCGGCTGCACTGCACCAGCGATCGCCAACAATCCCAACAAACTCCGCATGCTTCCAACTGCACCCTGCACACCCCTCTCACTAGCAGAACCTCTCTCCAACTCTACGAAGGTTCTGCCCTACCCCAAGGGCCGTAACTTCAACCTCAAGGGCCGTACCTCCAACTTCAAGGGCCGTGACACCAAGGGATGCCATCAACCCACTGGCAGTCGACACCAGGTGTACCGCCGGGCGTTGCGGCGCGGTATACAGTCCACCGCGACCCTTCCCTCCCTGCCGCATCGTGCGTCATTCTGTCAGTACGTCACTTTTTTGTTCTGGCGACACAGCAGCCGAGAAAGTGTAATCGCCCGGGGCAGCAAGGAATTGCACATACTCATCTTGGTATGACAAGCATCCATTACATTACGTCTTTCACCGAGGGCCATTTTACACCGTTTACAATTATGCCACTCCAGAGGAGCTTCAAAAAATGATGTCGTCTCCGAAGAGACACATAAGTGAGATACCAAGCAATCCGTAGTAAAAGGCGACGAATTGATATTCAAGGTATCAGGCTTAAGTTTAATATTCAAATTTTGCCCCTAGGAAAATCCGACGAATTGCCATTGTGGGCCAGCAACCGCCAAAACGGGTGGGGTTTTCCCGGGGAGTGGTTTGGAATGCCGCTATGCATACTGGACCCAGGATTTTGTCCCAGTTGGGTTGCGGGGAAGGGTGGTAGAAAAGCTGGGCGTGGGGAATTCGGTGGTCTTTCCGGTCTGCGATCGCTTTTTTAATAAATGACCACGAACGTTCCGGCTGCCGGTGCTCGAGGTACCGTTCAAATCCCGACGGAACGGCTTCTTGAGATTAACCCTGAGTCAACCAGAAACATTCCCAAAGCTAGGTTCTATGTAAGGCTTGCCTTCGACGCACATAATTGGTGTCCATGCACACCTTCGACACACGCTTTCAACACATTTGAAGAGAGTGTTTTCACTGTTTGGTAGGAGGATATTAGTCAGGTAGTGGAGGGCAAGCTAGAACTAGTCGGGCCGACGTTGACTGCTTATGACGAGATTCACGGGAAGTTCAAGTTGATGACTTCGAGTCTGAATGACCAACTGGTAACACTCGAAGAGCGCGAAGGCCATCTGAAGGAGGCCCTAGATGTAATCCGAGGTGCAAAGACCCGGAAGACAAACACGGAAACCCTGTACAAAGTGGCGGACTGTTTGTATACGAGAGCTAGAGTTACGGAACCGCAGAAATGTTTCTTATGGCTTGGGGTAGGACTCACTTACAAGCGGGCTATTTATCACCGGGCCGGATCCACTACCAACACATCCTCAGTGTGTGGACTAACATTGTTTCTGTTAGTCAAATGTTATGATGGAATATACTCCTGAAGAAGCAGAAGCGGTAGTCGGTAAGAACTTGGCGACCACGAAAGAAAATATCGAGGATATATTGGAGAATATTTTGGCTTTGAGGTCTGAGACTACCGTGATCGAGGCCTCGATTTCTCGGCTCCACAACTATGGGGTCTATTTGAGAAAGCAACATAATGTCTAAGTTGTGCACATCAGGAACTATGTTCTCCCCATCAATCGTTTCTCCCCATCAATCGTTTCTCCCCATCAATCGTTTCTCCCCATCAGACTTCGTTGAGGTTCTGGTGAATGGATGCTGAGCCGGGGCGGCATAAAAAAATATGTTGGGCTATGTTCCAGAATTAGGAGGCCGTACTCTAGTGGCCGAGGCACATGGTTATAAAAAAGGTCAACTAATTCTGGCTGAAGAACCTCACATCGTTTTTCCAGCGACTTCGAAATCTCAAATCTACCAAAAAGTAACCTTCTCAAACCATTCGGTGCTGAGCGTTGGGTGCTGAGCGTTGGGTGCTGAGCTCTGTTGTACTGAGCCCATTGGCCGAAAGGAAATGTCTGACTCAGTTTGTTGTAGGTTCGTGTTATATGTAAATTGAGCTTGCATGATGAATCGGTGGTTGACGATTTAGCGCTGGCCATTGCGGCGTATATTGAGACGTTGCAGGACGCGGACGTGAGTGATTATTTTGCAACCTCTACGGCTGTAACGACGATTGCAGAGTCATGTGCTGCAGGGCGAGATGGTCAGGAGGGAGGTAGTGAGCTTCGGGAGATTGGTTATGAGAAGTTGTGGAAGATGTTGCCAAAGTATTACGAGGTGGATATAGAAGCACTAAAGCAGTTTGCGATGACTATGATTTGCAATGCACATCGTACGAGTGAGAAGGTTCTCCTTTACAGACTGGTGTCGAAGATGGCGCATTCCTGCGACCCGAACACACTGTTATTGATTAAGACGAAGCAGGCTGATGGCAAACCAGGAACCCAGGAGGGACTCTGCTCAGTCATAGCGACCAGAGACATCGGTCCAGGTGAACCACTTACCTTTAGCTACTTTTCGGGACAACCTGGCGCGATCAATGGAGCATTTGGAAGAAGGAATTTAAGGCGGAGACATTTGTTAGAGACCAAGTTTTTCCTGTGTAAATGTTCCAGATGTATCCAAGAGGAGGCGGTCGAAATCGAAGAAGACTGCGGCAGGAAGTTGGAGGGTGCAGAGTTGCAGGATCCAGATGACGGGATTCGACGGGTGCATTCCTGTTACAACGCCATGGACAACTACAACATTTGGATTCGGAATTTTCCGGACCTGGAGTCGGCTCTATCCGAAGGGGACGAAAGTCCGTGGACCAGTGAACAGTTTGTCTTGATCTGTTTTGGTCTTGCATACAAATATTTGGTCGCCTTGCCCAATTTATACCATTGGGGTATAGTCGTCTCTGAGAAGAAGTTGGGACCTGGCTTCAGCTTTCTTCACCGGGGCTTGAGTTTAACTTCTCAGTCTACCAAGCTAACCATGTGCGTTGTTCTCGGAATCATCCTTCCCGTTTGCAGAGCAATCGGCCAAAGTATAACGACTTTACCCAAGGGCTTCAAATTCATCGGTCCCATAGCGGACGACGCCGCCCAAACCATCGTGTTACTCAGATCCGTTTTGGAAGCAGAAGACCCCGTACTCAGATACGCTGTCCCCGACTACCATCACGATGTATCGGAATTCAAAAACGCCGTAGACATTTATCTGCCATAAACTACACTCGGCGAACCGCAACAATGCCACTTTGCTGGTTCCAACGACGGTGGATGCAGTGGTCGATGCAACGAAAATGTTTTTTTGTAGATATGTAACGCCACGTAGGCACCCTCAGCAATGCACGCACTTGCACTGAAAGCAGCACTAGCGCTGGGAATCACGCCCACCCGGCTCTTTGCGCCATAAATTGGGTTGCACACGCGTGTGCTAAATGCCAGCAACACTGCAGTACACTCGATCGCGACCACGGCGGCGGTCGCTGGAGGCGTTGATTCAGAAGGGCGATAAGGCCATCGCTGGGTCGCTTGAGGACACAACAATTCCGTCCCTCCACAACTCGTCCTGTAGCGACGGCATTGCAGTGGAGCCTCCGTCCTCGTCGTTGGTCTCCGACATAAGCAGTAGTAGTAGTAGCAGCAGCAGCGAGGAGTCCTCCTCGTCTCTGTCGTCATCTGATTCCATTGATGTTGACGAGAGCGAGGACGGCGGAGAGACGGAGGAAGACGAGTCTGACGAACTGGACGAAGACTCGAGTGCTGGCTCAGAGTCGTCAGTGGAGGTGACCATTGAGATTCCGGCGGAAGGAGCGCCGGCACCCGACTTGGGTCATGACACCAAAGCTTTGGAGCAGCGCCTGTCTCACCCTTTCCTCCCAAGCGACCACGAAGAGATCTTGAAGCCCCTCAATTCGGCCCCGGGTGGTGATTCCAACTCAATAGCCTCTAGAACGGAAGAAAAATACTTCAACCCAGGTCAGAGACAACTCGGTCAGGGGCATCTCGGTCAGGGACATCTAGCCCAAAGTCTTTCGGGTGCAGATCACGACCGGGTGGGTTCAGACCGGGTAGGTTCAGACCGAGTGGGTCCAGACCGCGTGGGTTCAGACCGACTCGATACCCCCTCCGGCTCAAGCCATCCACCATCAAGCCATCCCCCGGCTAGCCACATAAGTGGCTCAACGGATGTGCGAGACAGGAGCCAGTTGCCGGACGGCCCTTCCAGCGACCGGCAGCGGCGACGGCCGTTACAGCAGCAACTGTACGGGAACATCAGCCTGGACGAGCTGTACGACCAGCTCCACTCCGTGCTGCAGGAAATCGACGACCTGCGGCACACCATAGAGAGCTCCAATTCTCAAGCACCTGTCGGCCAGACAACTGCCAGCCAGGCGGCTGTTGTCCAGGTCGAGGCTGGCCCGGCGCCTGAGGACGTGAGGGCGGCAGTGACCGCCGTGAGGGCGCGCGGTGAGGAAGCGCTACGTCTCGGAGAGTCTGCTGTGGGCCGCTATGTCTCGCGCCGGTTGCGATTGACCCCTTCGCTCGAACAGTTCGCGCAGCAGCGTGGCCAGTCCGGTGCGCTCTTCGACCAACTGCAGCAGCGTGCCCTCAGCACCTTTCCGCGAGTTCCAGGCGCCACTCCCGCAACAACCACCTTTCCGACAGCCACTTTTCCGGAAGGCGCGCATCACCACTGCAACCGGCGTCTGAGCAAACAGACGAGCTTCCACCTCCACCGGGGGGCGCTGGGAGCAGGACCCGACTCTGCGGCACGCTTTGACAAGACGCTGGCGGAACGGACGTTGCCCGACCGGATGTTGCCGGACCGGACGTTGCCGGACCGGACGTTGCCCGACCGGACGCTGCCGGACCGGATGTCGGGTGAGCAACAGTTCTTGTCCTGCCGAAACTGCTCACGGAACTTCTCGTCACCGCGAAACCTGGAGTACCACGAGAAGCTCTGCAGGGCGGCACTTAGCAGAGATGAGGACTCCTCACCGCCTACCTTCGCTTCGAGCGGCGGCACGAAACGTCTCCCCTGCAAACATTGCGGTCGGGCCATGACGGAGAAGGCTCTTGCACACCACGAGAAAGTCTGCATCAAGATCTTCGGCGGAAAAGCCCGGCCCCAGGTTCCAGACCACTCGACCAGGAGCAGGTCCTGAGCCCAGCCCAGACTTCAGCCCAAAGGTTCAGCCCCAGGTTCTCGGGCTGCTCTCACTTTGCCGTCGTCTCCTTTTTGTGACGGATTCAATCCTGTTGCCTTCGTTTGACTGGTACCCTTGGTCGCCGATAGCCGCTGCCTGTTGCCCTGCGGCCCCGTCGGGAGGCAGGTTCCCCCATCCGTCTGACTCGCCTCCTTCCTCGAACATCCTTCGAAATTCATCCAATTCGAGCAGGTACTTGGTCGCGAATTTCTTGGTGCTTGGAAGCACGGATAAACTAAGACGCCAATGTTATCCAGATATGCCCCGCGCCAGGGGTGGTGTCGTGGCCAGGGGTGATGTCGTGGCCAGGGGTGGTGTCGTGGCCAGGGGTGGGGGTGGTCAGGGCTAGGGGCGGGGGTGGTCAGGGCCGGGGGTGGGGGTAGTCAGGGCTAGGGGTGGGGGTAGTCAGGGCTAGGGGTGGGGGTAGTCAGGGCTAGGGGTGGGGGTGGTCAGGGCTAGGGGTGGGGGTGGTCAGGGCTAGGGGTGGCCTCAAGGATGGGCTTACAATTTTTCGTGTGAGATGATAGAGGCCGCTTGTGTATTAAGATTTCCTTGGCGGTATCCTAACACGGCGAAATTTGGTGGTTGTGGCAGTCCAATGGCGAAAGCGATCACGTCTTGAGGGACATTTGGAGCGATCATTTTGAGTTGATTAAAGTAGGCCAAGTCTTCCTGGGAGTTGGTTGCAAGCTCGTGGGCATCGTGACCGAGATCAATCTGCTCTGTGCGGGGCTGTTGCGGCGTGGGCGACATGAGCGAGGGGTCGGAATGGACTGGACTACACCAGACAAGACCGGACTACAGCAAACTAACTAGGTAGACAAGCGCGTAGAAGCGAGTCAAGCGCGTGGAAGCGAGTCAAGCGCGTGGAAGCGAGTCAAGCGCGTGGAAGCGAGAATCAGCGTTTGGTAAGTAATTGGTGAGTAGAATTAAGTGTGGTGAGTAGAATCCAGTGTGGTGGGTAGAACTCGATGAGGCTAGAGTTCAATTTATAAAAAACTCTGGTGTGTGTACAGTTGGTTCAGCACAGGGCTATACTGGATGATTTGGGCAGCATGGTCATGTAGTTTGAGTTTATGGTAGGTGGCTTGTTCGGATTCACCAAGGAGTTTTGGCTTGCATTTAGAGGCCTTCCAAGGGGCGCGGAGTTCACGAACAATATCTCTTTTGATCTCGCTAATCTGTCTGCTGCTGGCGGTAGCTGAGAGCGCTCGGATCCAGTCGCAGGTTTCGCTAGTGTGGAGATCGACACAACGAGGATTATGACAAGTTAAACCGTGCAAGTATTGGGGACAAAAGTGCACTACACTTGGACACACTCGAATGCGGAACTCATTCTCGCCATTACCTGTACGAATTATACTGCCGTGCGCATCCAAAATGCACAATCGCGCTGACTCCATCGTCGCATACTCCACGTCCAACACCGATGTAGGAGACTTGTCAACAACAACCAACTTCTGGACACTCCCGTACTTGCCCAGCCACTCAAACGCACGCGCGTGACTCAATGCGTACCCAGGCAAACCCTGAACACGCAGTGTCTTCAATGACAAAAACTTGCGCGAGTAAATCGTCTTGCTTCCCATAGGAGCACCCGCACTCGTCGACACCGACGTATCATTCACACCCCCTACGTCGACAAAGGATTACCGCGGACAACACAGAGGGGACGGGGGGAGAAACTACCGCCGAAGGGAAACTACCGCGGAAGGGAAACTACCGCGGAAGGGAAACTACCGCGGAAGGGAAACTACCGCGGAAAGGAACTACCGCTGGGCTGGGCGGGACTGTTGCCAAGAGGAGGGGCGGGGCACGTACCTGGAGTGCTTTGCGGCTTGTTCTGCCTCAGGTTCTTCGTGGAAATTTGGGAGAGGGATCCCCGCGGGCCGATTTTCTTCACGGAGGCTTCAGGACTGAAGCTCTTGCTGCGTTCGTTGATGCCGGCTTTCGGGCTGGTGTCGGAGTCCGCGTCTGTGCTATCGCACTTTTTGCGCGAGGAACCGAGAAGCGACTCATTGCTTGAGGCGGCGTTGGGGAGGCGGTCGGAGGCGTAGCGCGGTTCTACAGCGGGTTCGTAGAGGTAGCCACCCTGCATGGCGTACGCCGACTCGCCCGCCCGGTCCCCGGTTCGATCCCCGGCGCCGGTTCGGTCGCCGGTTCGATCCCCGGTTCCCGCAGTCGGCCGCTCGGCGGAGAGACGGTCGCCGGCGAGGCGGGTGGTGCGTCCCTCGTAGCGAGAGGTCTCGGCGACGGCGCGAGACCGCGGTTCGGGCGCGGAACGCGAGTTGAACGCCGAGTCACCGCCGGCACCTGAGGAGCGCGAGTGCGGGTCCGAAACCAAGCGCGAAGCAGGCGAGCGCAAGTCGCGCGCACGACCTTCGGCTCCCGAGTAGTCGACCGGCAGCAGCAACCCCGCGTACTCCGCCTCCGCCAAAGGCCGCGCCGGCTCCGTCGGCCGGCCCCCCTCCATCAGCGGCCCGCTGCCTTGCCGCAACCCGCCGTCCGTAGTACCGGGCCGCAACCCGCCTTCCCGCAGTCCGCAAAGCGTCCCCTCCGTCCGCGCGTGCTCGCGACACGGCGCCGCCCGGTATTCTGCCGCCGCGCCCCCGTCCTCCTCCTCCGCCGCCGTCACCAATCCGCTAAAGGCCGCGCGCAGCGCGTTTGCCTCTGCCGGCAACCGGCTGCAGCCTTCGCAAGGACGCTCGCCGCGCGCAGCCAGCCGCGAGTTCGCCGTCTTGATGTAACAGTCTAAGCATAACTACATCGCCTCTGTCGCACGCCGTGCTGCTTACGGTCAAGTTGCAAATACATGGGTGCGACGGGTGAGCTGGCAGCTTGCCGCACCCTCTACAGTTCATTACAAAAAGATTTTTATCGCGCGCGCGCGCGCGCGCGCAAGCGAGCGAGATCGGGGCGGCCTGCGCCGCGATCACTCGACGGTGGAGTGCGGCCCGCGAGTAATAGAGGACGGGGCGGTCGACGGCTGGAGTGTGGGGTACTCGCCGACCATCAGCCAGCGAACAATCAGCGAGCTAGCCGCTGCGCTTTTTGGGATCGCGCTTCTTGACGTCTTGGACTCGGCGCGTGTTGCTCTTCTTGGCGCCTTCGCGGGCCAGTGGCGACGCCGGCTTGGCTTTGGGGGAAGCCCGACCTGGGTTGCGGGTGTCGGCGCTAAAGTTCTCGACTTCGGCGTCGATCGCGACAGAAGACCGTTCGGTGCCCGGTTCCGGGTCGCGGGGTGGGGTTCGGAGGGTTGCTGTCTGGGGTGGGAGCGGCATTTTCTGGAGGGCGTGTGGTGTGGCTTGTCCGCGGTAGGGCGAGGCGACCTTGGTTTTTGCGCGGCGTTTGTATTCGTGTTGAGCGGCGGGTTGGGCAGGCAGTGGTCTTTGCGCGACGTACAGGAGGACTCGCAGTAGCCATTCTTGCATGCGCGGAAGGTCGAGTTGCACATGGAGCCACTCCTTCCCGCACACGGACATGATGTCGTTACCGCGCACACCGAGCTTTTCTAACTCGGGTTTCCGACACAAGACGAACCACGCGTAAATAGTCCACCGGCATTTACGACGCACCGCCTCACGTAAGCCCTTCACCTCTGCCGCCAGCGGGTCCTCTTCCCGCAGCGGTCGCCGTCGGGTACTACTCGGCTTGCCCAACAGTGGCTTGATCAACAACGCCTCCAACCGGTACCGACTCGCCCGTGACGTCTTCGACAAACCTGCTTCCACCCCAGGCTCCGAACGAACCCCAGGCTCTGAACGAACGGCCCCAGGCTCGGGCTCACTCAGCGCTCCGGGAACAGACTCACTCGGCCCCCCAGGAACAGACTCACTCGGCGCCCCGGGAACAGACTCCGCGTCGGCTATCTGCTTGGAAGGTATAGCACTTCCGGTGGGGATTGCGCTTCCGCTGAGGATTGTGCCTCTCGTAGGACTCACTCCGCCGATTAAAGCCCCTCTATCAGATCCGCTTGGTTGCGGAACCGCCATGTCGCATGTCCCCTGCGGGCGCCTGAATTCGAAGGAGAAGACGTAGGGGTCCGCCCAGCTTCCCGTCGGCCACCGGACTGGCGTGAGTGAGCTGAAGAGCAGCTGAGAGAGTTTTGTGCACTCTTCTAACGGAGCCGAGTAGTCCGCGAAGGAAAGCCAAGAGGGCAACAAACCAATCGGGACCCGAAGAGCCAGTTTTTCCGTCTCCGGACTCGGAGCCAAATTCGGAAATAAAGTACCCACCATTTCGCAACTGCTCAGCGTGCCCGCAACCGGATCAGTCAATGGGGCAATGGACCATCGATTGACCATATAGATTGCCTTCTGCAACACATTCACGATGGCCATTGTTTGTAACTCGAATGTTTTACTCTGGTTCACGGCAAGCCTTATAGCCGCCTCCAGCCATAGCATTATTTGGTCGACATTTAGTTCTTCAACAGGACTCAGGGATACAGGACTCACCAGCACAGGGCTACCGCCTCTGCCAAGGCTACCGTCTCTGCCAAGGCTAACGCCTCTGCTAGGGCTACCTGCACCGACTATGACTCCCCCCACATTTCTCTTTCGACCATCTGCTCCGGCCATGTCATCATCCTGTAGGTTTCGCTTTCGACTCTCTCCTAGCCTTCCTTTTGTTGCCTCAATACCTGCCTCAAGACCGGGACTTGTGTGATCGCCATTCGGAGGGGGCAAAGATAAAATTGGGAGGGATTCTAGGGTTGTCTTATATTCACGCAGAAGTTGTTCCATGCATACCTCCCAGGCCGAAATTATATATACGACGCCCCAATAGCATGCGTAAATGACTCACCCAGACCCTACAAACTTCGCCCTTGAATGGCATTGGTGGAGGGAGCGATGAAGGGAATATCTCTTCAAAACGGCACTGGTCAGCTGCAACTTGGTTGTCACCCGCAACTTGCTGGTCAGCTGCTACCTGGTTGCCATCTGCTACCTGCTGGTCACCTGCTACCTGCTGGTCACCTGCTACCTGGTTGTCACCTGCTACCTGGTTGTCACCTGCTACCTTCTGGTGACCCGCTGCCTGCTGGTGACCCGCAACCTGACCACCCGCCACCTGACCACCCGCAACCTGACCACCCGCCACCTGGTTGTCACTTGGCTGGGCTGACGGCTGTTGCGGGTTGACGCACATCAAACTGACATGAGGTCTGAAGCTCGTCATGTATCGCAATCCAATGCCGAGTCCATCACAGACTGCTTTCTGCAGACGAACGAAAACCGAGTTGTCAGCATCAACATACAACACGACATACTTTCGCATGCTTTTGTTATCCGTTAATATCTTAAGTCGATTTGTAATTGCCACCGAAAAGGGCATCACCTCTGAAATTGAATTGGCCACATGAGATACCAATGCATCCCTCTGGTAATCACTACAAGGGACTACATGTCACTGACAGAGGGAAGGACGAGCCGGACGTGTTGGCAGATGCTTACTGGACTAGAAACGAGTCACAGAATGAAATATGAAACCCGTTCTTCAGTTCGTCGTCGATGTTTAGTCGGCCCGTGGAATCGGAGCCATCATCATTAGAGTCATCCCCGTCATCCTTTTGTTCATCCTGTATTTCCAAACCAAGATACGCACACACATGTTTGCGTTGTTCCTTCAGCTCTCGAATCACTTCCGCATCAGTTACTACGAGAGGACTATTGTGGGTGGATGACAAATCGAAAGGGGATGGTCACAGTTCGGTGGGGCTTGTCCGCAATTGGTGGTACGCGACGCGGAGTGTCTTTTCTTTACTCCCCAAGTACACGAATGCTGGGAACAATCCTGCAGTCGCTCTAGACCTTTCGTTCATCTTGCGTCACTAGAAGTCCTGAATCCTGGGTCACCAGAGGGACCGGGTTACTGTGAGGTTTTTTTATGGGTTTAGAGCTGAGAGGAAGCTCGTTTGTTCTCTCACGCACACCACAAAGGAAATATTCTAGCCCGGGCGGGGTGCTCGAAAGCGCAGCGGGCGTTCAACAGAGCTACCATTAAATTTGGTGAACCCTCAGTCCGCCTGCTGGGTTTATGTGAGTGGCGAGTGCAATCTGTCGGTGGCACGCAGTTTTCTCTCGGTACATCTCAAAGCGTATCGACCTAGGGAGCTTGGGTATAAAATTTTAGCGAACAGACGAGCAACAGACGATCAAGAGAGGCGTAGACGAAAACGTGGTTTTATTACGCCGCTCACGAAGTACGATGCTACTAAGGGTTGCAACGGTGGTGCTGGTGGCGGCGGCTACGGTGGCGTCAGCGTCGGCTTCGATGCCGCTTGAGACAGCGTCGCTTGGAACAGCGTCGCTTGGAACAGCGTCGCTTGAGACGACATTCAAGTTTGAGGCGGAGACAGCGGAGTTGATGAACATCTTAATTGACTCGTTGTACACAGATAAGGATATCTTTCTCCGGGAGCTAGTGTCAAATTGTAATGATGCAATTGAGAGATACCGGTTGAGTAGGCTTATGCATGACGAGGGTCGCGGTGACGAGGGTCATGGTGACGAGGGTCATGGTGACGAGGGTCATGGTGACGAGGGTCATGGTGACGAGGGTCATGGTGACGAGGGTCATGGTGAGGATGCAGGGTACAAGGGGGAGATCAAGGTGTTAGTGGATGACGTAAACAACCGAATATTTGTGGTGGATAATGGTGTAGGAATGTGCAGGAAGGATTTGATAGATCGGCTGGGTAAAATAGCGAACAGTAGCGCGCGTAATTACGGCAAGTTTGGGGGCGCTGATGTCATTGGCAAGTTTGGGGTCGGTTTCTATAGTGTGTTTTTAGTGGCGGATCAAGTGGTAGTCCATAGCAAATGCCAACAGGAGCGAGATGTACATCGATGGACTAGTTTGGATAGGACGTCCTACACAGTTGCAAAGGATGAGGAGGAGCTTGTTGGTGATCATGGGACGATGGTTGAACTGATAATAAAGAAGGATTTACGAACACGATATTTAGACAAGCAGGAACTAAAAAAAATTATACTGGCGTATGATACCTTCATGAAATACCCAATATCAATCGGGCAGTTCCATGCAACAGAAGAATATGAGAGACTAGATCTTGAAAAGCCCATATGGTTAAGAAAGGATGTGAGGGATGAAGATGAAAAAGAATATTCGAAATTCTTCAAGACACATTGGAATAAAAATAAAGACCCAATAACTCATATACATTTTACTGCCCAGAGCGGTGAATCAGATTTTATAGGTCTTATATTCGTACCCCAAAGAGGTAAAGAAGATGTGTTTAATGATATAAATAAAGTTGAACAGAGCAACTTTCAATTATTCATTAAAAGAGTTCTTGTCGCAAACAATCTTGATAAGTAAGTTTACATACCACTTACGGGTCGTCTTGGTCTGGGCCGGCGGGCTTTCACCTGTATATCGGACACATACTGTGTATGTCGGACACATACTGTGTATGTCGGACACATACTGTATATGCTGTATCATTACTTTAGATTTGTTCCCCCATATTTGAATTTCTTGTATGGTATTATTGATGCTGATAACTTACCGCTCAAAGTGGATCGTCAATCGTTGACCGATTCAAGAATTGTACGTCAAATAAAGCGAAAGGTTTTATTGAAGACATTTGAAATGTTGAGAACTTTATCAAAGTCATATCCGAAGAAATATATGCGAGAATTTTGGCAAGGATATGATCAGAATATGGCGTTAGGATGCACACATGAGACAGATAAGAAAATGAAAGAAAAGATTTTATCTTTATATCGTTTCAAATCAATTAATGTGAAGGATACTATAAAGTTGGATGATGATGATGATAGGATAGATGATAGGATAGATGATAGGATGGTTATGGGATGGACAACATTGGATGATTATGTGAGTTCGATGAAGACTCATCAAAAAGATATATATTATTATCATTATGGATCGACGGAGTTTGATGTTAATATCCCTGTTATCGAGTTTTATGTCAGGAATAAGGTACCAGTATTGCTCTTGTCCAATACATTTGATGAAGGATGTTTAGTACAAAGTGAGAAATATAAAAATTTCAAATTACAATCTATCGAGCGTGAACAGATCTCTATTGAGCATCTGGTTCGATTACAATACAATGATGTCAGCCCACAAGACATCATTATACATACTAAGAATGCTGAACGTGATCAGGAACGTATTATAAAATTGTATGATCCGCTCGTGAAACGTATCCGTAAAGTTCTCGGTCATTTTATTGACGTGAAAATTAGCTACAGACTTCTCCAGTCGCCCATTCTAATTTCTGTTCCATCCCATGGCTTCACTGCTAACTATGAGAAAATGATCAAAACGCAGATTGGTGGTGCGGATCAGCAGCTTCAAAAAATTCTCAGCCAAATCAAAACCGTAGAAATCAATCCCTACCATCCAATCCTCAAGAACTTGCTACAACGAGTGATGGAACAACCGGTAAGCCAAGTGGATAATCAACCAGATGACATTGACCGAACCATTAATATCCTTTATCAGTCAGGACTTCTTAATGCTGGGTTCGATCTCACCAACCTACCACTGCTAAGGAAACATATTAACGAAGCACTTTTAACCCAGCTTAATATAGATGATCCCAACGACTACGACTTGGACCAATTGCTGGACAACGCCGCAGCTAACATTCTTGACGCCCCCGACCACGACGATGCCCCCGACCACGACGATGCCCCCGACCACGACGAGCTCTAGCCCTCCCGCCTCCTTCTCCTTCGCGTTCATCCTCAGCTCGGACGCATCCCTCCCCTTACAAACTCCTGGGGCCGTCGTACAGCCGGGTGAGTTCTCAAAATGAAAAACTAACTGCCGTCGAGGTGGCGGTCTCGTAACGGCCGTCTCGTAACGACCGTCTCGTAACGACCGTCTCGAGGCGGCGATAACGAGCTCGGATCTTCCACGAGTGTCAACCCGCCCTCATTCTTACACCCCAACAAGCGGCATGATTACCACGCAGTACCGCCGATGTGATCCGCAGATCTCACAGTCCGCGGATCTGATCCGAGCTCTGCTATTCCCTGCATTATTCACTCCACTGATCGCTCCACAATTCGGGCTAACAATATAACTTCGAAGTAGCAGGTACAGTGTGTGGTGCCTATTACCGTGCAGCCACCGCTGTGCCTGCGTCTCGGCCGAAGCGTCAGAAGGCAGTTCGAACCATCTAATTGCTCCCATGCTATCGCGCTTGGGATCGATACGATCTGGGTTCAAGCCCACGGTCGGACTTTTCTTAAGGCCATGCCGCCTCGCTCAAAACATGTTCAGTCCGTGAATTATATTCATGTTGGTTTTCAGTAAACTATTACATACAACTTGACATAAAATCGCAGCGCTTGCAAACAGCACGTAGCAACACATACCTCCTACAGGCGAGTCTCCTGCTATAAACTCCACCAGATCGTCCTGTTCGAAGATGTCGACGTGGTTAGTTAGGGCGGGAGAGGCGTACCGGAGGGGGAAGAGTACCGGAAGGGGAAGAGTACCGGAAGGGGAGGGTACCGGAGGGGGAAGAGTACCGGAAGGGGAAGAGTACCCGAAGGG